AGTAAGGACATTTTCCCTGCTCTCTTTCCTACATTCTTTATCAATAATCTTCTCTTGATATTTCCTCATTTCAGATTCCCACGATTACTGGAAACAGTTCAATTTTATTTATTCCTAATTTGAAACATATCAATCAAATTAGAGTCATAGAGTCATAGGGTCATAGAGATGTACAGCACAGAATGAGACCCTTCAGTCCAACTTGGTCATGCTAACCAGTGATCCTAAATACATTTAGACCCATTTGGCAGCACGTGGTCTGTATCCCTCCCAACCCTTCCTATTCATATACCCATCTAGGTGCCTTTTTAATGTTGTAATTGTACCAGCATCCACCACTTCCTTTGGCAGCTCATTCTATACATGCACGACTCTGTGTGTGAAAAAGTTGCCCCTAAGGTCCCTTTTAAACCTTTCCACTCTCATGTTAAACCTATGCTCTCCACTTTGGACTCCCCTACCCTGAGGAAAAGACTTTGACTACTCACACTATCCATGCCTCTCTTGATTTTATAAACCTCTATAAGGTCACCCTTCAGTCTCTGACGCTCTAGAGAAAACAACCCCAGCTTATTCAGCTTCTCCCTGTAGCTCCAACCCTCCAACCCTGGCAACATCCCTGTAAATCTTTTCTGAACCCTTTCAAGTTTCACAACATCCTTCCTATAGCAGGGAGACCAGATTTGCACACAGTATTCCAAAAGTGGCTGAACCAATGTCATGTACAGCTGCAACATGATCTCCCAACCCCTTTACACAATGCACTGACAAATAAAGGCAAGCATATCAAATGCCTTCTTCACTATCCTATCTACCTGCAACTCCACTTTCAATGAACGACGAACCTACACTCCAAAGTCTCTTTGTTCGGCAACATTCCCCAGGATCTTACCATCAATGTATAAGTCCTGCCCTGATTTGCCCTACAAAAACATAGCACCTCACATTTATCTAGATTAAACTCCATCTGCCACTCCTCATCCCAATGGCCCATCTGATCAAGGTCGCAAATTATTCCATAATATCTTCTTTTCTTGTGAAATACTGTCATTTGCTGTCATTCATTTCATTTTCCTCATTAAGAACTGAGGACAATAAGAAAATGTGGGAAAATGCAAGATCTCGATATTGTGGTTGATAATACACAAATAAACCCATTGAAAATAATGGCAATACATTATATGTACTTTTAAACAATCAGTTCAGATGTGATCTGGCACACCTCTGGAGCTATGGTGGAACAGCAGGTAAGACTTGCACTCAGGCTTTCTGGTGCAATGCAGGGACACTATCACTGCACCACAAAAGCCTGTTTAATGGTTCAGGTATGTTATGACACAAGTCTGGGGAAGCTAGGACCTGAATCCACACCTTCTGACCCAGTGGTAGGGACACTACCTCTGCATCAGAAGAGCCCTTGGCAGCACACTGCACTGGATGAGATTACCACGGAGGGCTCTCCTTCTCAACCTCCCTCTTCACCTGAGGAATGGTGATCCTCACCTGAGGAATGGTGATCCTCAGGTTAAACCTTCACTAGTTGTCTCTCTAATGAGTGAGCAGCCCTGTGGTCTGGTAGGACTATGCTGACTACTTATCCTATTATGTCCTGATACATTCTTTGAAACTCTCTTATGGCTACTCATTCAGGGACTACGTGACGCAGGGCATTACGTATATACTTGAACATTGTGCATTTGAAATAAACATTGCAGAAAATATGCCAATCTTAATTTGGGTCTGTTTTCTTGCACATTTAGCACAGATTATATTGATTGTGCTTCCAAGTTAACAGTTGCATTTATTGAAACTTATATTCTTGTACTAAAGTTGAAGTTTCACATCAAAACGAGTTACCCTTGCCTTAATTTGAAATTGGCTTCCGCTCCATCATCCTAGGTGATGTGTCATTTCGTAAACAGGCTTCAGAGTACACAGCATGAGCACGAAGATGAGACCATCCCATGCATCTAGAATTGGCTGCAGGCAACAAAACTACAGACAGTTTTTTGATTGTTATAGGGAATGCTTAGATAGAGGTTGGGAGGGAACTCATTGAACCTCTGAAGAACAGAAACGCGGCTTTCAATTCTATAATGCAACAACCCAAGACGAATCGCTTCTTGAACTTGGGCTAATGCCACATTTCAAACCAACCGTACATAATTCGACCACTTACTTTCATTTCGATACCACTGTTGGAAATCCAGACAAACTTGCTTCTTCCAACTCCGCTTGGAGCATTTAGAGACTCCGCGGGTAAAATAGAATCTCGCATTTTATCCCCAGGTAGAACAATCAATTGTTCAAACAATCAAGCTTGGGCAGTAGGTTTATCCCCATCCTAATCCTGCTGAACTTCCACATTTACGAGCCAACTCCAAAGATCCTGCTTACACTGTAGTATCTAAAATAGAGAAAACTATTTGTAATCCCCGTTCCAATTGGCTCCTCTACTTCATCCGGAGGCAGAGTTACCCTTGATTCCTTGAAGCAATCTCACGGAGAATAAACACGTTGACTGAAAAACAATTGAAAAACAATAAAGATGTACATGTTTTGCCACTGCCAGTTCTTTTTCAATGGAATACTAATACTCTAATTCGCAGTAACATGGAGAGTAAAGACTTGCATCTTGTAACAGGAAAAGAGGTTCCAGTACCGATTATCGCGTGCGTTTCATCATGAAATGTTGTGTGGCCTCCTGATTTAAGAACTTTGGGAAATGCTACTGTGGGGTTTATATGCTATTTAGAGAAAAGTAATACTAAAGTGTGAGTGGCAGTTCCCTGTAACCTGTTTAGATTGTGCCTAAAGGGCAGTCATACTAACTTGACATCAATCATGTGGAAAGATTAATACCACTATTTCGGACACTATCGCCTCAAAGGATCGATGATAAAAGCAGACACAAAGCAGGACGTTGTACAGTTTGGAATTGGAGTTTGCAATTAAATTATCCTAAATTCAGTCACTTCGACAGCTGTAGTTCAAATGATAAGTAAACGCTTATAAATACTCACGAAGGATATTAATCCTCTCTCTTTCATAGTATAAGAAAGTCATCAAAAGCCATTACTTAATGCATTTATACGACAATCACTGGCGTGTTAACTTTAGGAATAAATCCTAACATTTGTCCGATTGTTGTGGATTATTTCCTAACTAAATTGAAAGCTTCCCGTTGGATTAATTCTTGACAGACATCCGAAAATGACAGGCTCGAGTTGTGCTTCTATAAATTGTCTGTTTAGTTTCTTTCACCCTGAATAAATACAAACAGGATTATAAGGGTGATAAAAGCGATTTTTTCTCCAGGCAGCGACATGCTGACGCCGTCCCTGTTTACTCCATCAGCTCCATTACCACTGACAGTGAGATCCCACTGCCGATTGGCATCGGTCAACTGAGAACGTCGACGAGCAACAGTTCTCCACATCTAATCTACAGTTTAAAATATCCTTTACTCCCTATTAGTCACGTCCCCTCCTCCCCCCCATTAAGAATAACGAGGAGGTAACTAACTAATGGTAACAAAAGCAAGATAATCTGGTGCAGAAGAAGGGCCACAAAGGAGATTACAGTGCTGGACAGCATAACGGAGTCATTTGTAAAACACAATGGGCCCTTTGGGGCTCTTCCATTCATAATAGCCGTGTATTGAGGACTATCATAATTACAGCAACGAGCACCGCGTAAAAATTAATTTCAGCGACTGACAAAACTGCCCTGTGTAATTAAACATTGGCTAAAAAAAGATACACGGTGAAAACTCACGCGAGAAACTAACTAAAGTGGGGCTTGAGAGTGTAAGAAGCTCAAATACGTCGGACGCTGTTACATCAGATACAATCAGGCGAATCATCATGTTTTCTAAAACATATTGAGATCAGTGAAGGTCCTTTGGCCATTTCCATTAGTGATAACATCAAAGAGTGCGAAGCAGTTACAATGAACCGACATTCAAATCCTCCAGAAATCTGCAACACACAAAATGCTCATGTGTAGGAATTTCAAAACATCTTGCTCTGCCTTACAGAAAATAACATCAATAAAATCCAGATATACTTCCACCAGTGCCCACAACTCCTTAAGGTTTTATCGCTGCTCCCCACGACCAATAAACGCCTCAGCACTGAGCGAAACAGCAGTTGTGTCGATTTTGTTTGGATCTGTATCGTAAGTACAAAGAAAACCCGATAAATTACCCACTAAATGGACCCCAAATCCGGTAATTTTAATAATCTTCGCAGCAAGTGTATGTCACTGGTGAAATATTGTGTAAATTACTGGTGGAAATGTTTTAAAGATTGCTATAAGGGCGGCAGGAATCTGATTTTGATTAATTTAATCCAGTTTGTTATTCGAAACCAACGCAATTCATGCACCGCCAACATCTTCCTCACAGAGTTCATTCGGCTGCCTCGTGAATGTGCATCTTTCTGTTGTTCAGGTAAAGAAGTGGTTATCTAACGTGCTCCCTTCACCTGACGAAGGAGCAGCGCTTTGAAAGCTTGTGATTTCAAATAAATCTGTTGGACTATAATCTGGTGTCCTGTAACTTCTGACTTTGTCCACCCCAGTCTCACACCAGCACCTGCACACCTTGCCTTCCTGGGCAAGTGCTTGTTGTTGTTTGGGTTCTGGTAGCGAAGGATGTGAGCCAGTGTCAGTCGAATTATTAACGCAGCGCTACCGATTGAATACCGCCAGAACCGACCATACAATAAATTATCTGTGTGGCGCCTTATCACATCCAAACATCTAAAATGCCAAAATTGTTGTTAGCATTAAAATGACTGAGATGGAAATTTAACTTTCAACACGTAATGTAGGGCTCTTTCAAACTTACTGTCGAATCCTAGACATTGTAATTTGGTAGAAGTGCTCTTATTTCTAAAACAAAAAGCTGTGGTCGTTTAAACATGACGTTATCAATGAAATAAAGTTCCATTCAGTCAGTTCCACAATTGAGTGAACACACTGCTTTTATTAGCGATTCAAACCTTACAAAAATTTCTGTCAGTGACAATTTCAAGAGGTTACTTTTTTTTTGCCAAAAGACATATCGGAAACTGTTTGACACTGGTACCAAAGTTAGGCCTGTTAATAAGTCAGGTCACCAAAGGCACACATCCGAACGGCGTCCAACTTTTGCAATCAAATACATCCAAACATTCGTTATGAACAGACCTAATTTTAAAAACGAATTAAAGTACCATAATAAATAAAACGACAAGTTCCTCGATTTATTTTGCACAAATGCCTTACCATTCCCAGGGAATTCATGCTTCTTAAATTATTTCGACATTGAAAATTGCTGGCATTGGTTTTGAGGTCACCAGCTGTCTCTCATTCTTGACCGCAATCCTTACCAGGCTCGGATTCCATGCAAAGAACCTTGCAGAGCCGACACTCCGGGATTTTGGTGGGCTTGAGACTGCGCTGCCGAGTAATTCCCGTTGCCAACATTAAAATTCATGCCCATGTTGACGAAGGGACTGGCAGACGCGGTCTGCTGCATTGTAGCCACGCTCGAATACATGCAGCTGTAGTCTCCGTCACAGGTACCAGTGCTGTAGTTGGGATAAGTGGGATAAATATTGTAGCTGTACGGTGCCACGCTGACATTATATGGTGCGCTGTAGGAAGGGGATGCTCCAAGGCAAGGCTTCCCGTCCCGTACCAACACAGGCACAGCAACCCGGCGAGGGGCAGCAGGCGCTGCTCCCAATTCCAAATGTTTATCCTGGCGCTGCCTCTTGCATTTGTACCTGCGGTTCTGGAACCAGATCTTGACCTGTGTCGATGTCAGTTTTAACACACTTGCTAGATGATCTCTTTCTGGGGCGGATAGGTATCTTTGCTGCTTAAAGCGTCTCTCCAGCTCATAGACCTGGGCCTGAGAAAACAACACTCGCGGTTTCCGCCGAGCCCTCCTCCCAGAGCCTTCAACAGCATCGCTCCTTCTTGCTTCACGCGTCGTCTTTTTATCCATCGCCTTTCCCTCTAGATTATAACAAACAAGGACATTAAAGATTACACCGGGAGCGGGCTTTTTTTTTAAATCGCGCTTCTGTCGGTGTTTAAAGTGGAGTTTACCGGTCAAGTTTGAAACTCAGTTTAAAACTTACTGATTTTTTTTCATTCTGCGGGCTCCTGGTTTTCTAAATTTGCACCATTTACTCAGTTTGTTTAGTACTTCGGCGCTCACTGAACGACAGTAAAATCAAACTATTTCACTTTCTGAAACTCCGGCTAATCTTGGGGTCTTGTTGAAGTTTTCATGAAAATGTACAACATTTTTGCTTCCCTTACACTCCAGCTCATTTTCATCAACTGGAAACGCCAAATAGTATTCGAGTATACAGGAACTCACAGCACCTTTGACAATATGCTGTCGACACCTTTCTCTTCACACACCAAATGACCGAAGACCATTGTAACCGGATTGATGCTGTTCCAACACTTCACTGGGGTCTACAACAAGTGCACATCCCCCGAACACATCTCCAGTACTGTACACTTTCCAGTACACATCCCTGTACTATACAGATCCCTGTACTATACACATCCCTGTACTGTACACATCCCCAGTACTGTGCACTTGCCCAGAACTGTGCACATCTCCAGCACGGATCGCTAGGACTGTACATATCTCCAGTACACATCCTCAGTACTGTGCACATTCCCAGTACAAACCTCCAGTGCTGGTATAGATCCAGTGTTGTACATAAGCCGGTAAATGTGCTCAGCATACATTGCCAGTACTATACACATCCCTGTACTGTACACATCCCAGAATTGTACTGGACACATTTCCAGTGGTGTACACATTCCAGAATTGTACACATCCCTGTACACGCATACAGACACATACGCACACACTGCGCGAAAACGCAGTTTGGGCTGCAGGATTACCGAGGAGCTGAGCAAAATTACAAGAGGACTTTCAGATTGGATACGTACAGCTAAATCGATTCAGTTAGTCGGATTCAATACCACGAATGTACGTGTCTATCGGCATCGATTAGCTTTCTTTTTCTCTCGCGCTCTTTCCTTGGTCATTAATTGCATTTTTTAGATGTGCTCTATCTCTTTCCGATGCCGGCTTTGACGATCGGGTAAACTACGTGAAGTGATTTTCTGTTCAGCAAGAAGCGCTTGTCGGCCATTCCCCCATCTGTCAGTGTATTTACCTGGGCTGTTGCTGTGAATGGCGATCTCCATCCGCGGTTCGCTGGAGTTCGGGCTATCAGTCACACTCACACCAGCTGGAAACGCCGCATGGCTCTTCTGGACATGAGGTTTCATCACCTCATTGCCAAGGCCTGGTAGCACGGTGCATTTGGACTGATATCCTTGCTCCAACATACAAGACGAAGGCAGGACATCCGGAGTTGTGCCCCCATGATCTAGGATCCAGTGCTTTCCATGGCGATGTTCCAGGTTTAAAATATCCTTGACAGAGAATGGGGTGCTCGAAGCTGCGGGGCTCGGAAGCATCTCGGGGTAACTCCGGTGGTAATAGTGCTTCGAAAATGTTAGGAGAACTGGTGACCAAACCCGGCCCTACATTACTAATTCAATGACGCAAATTTGAATAGACTTTACTCCGTTAAGGGGTGACTGACGTTAACAGAGGCAGAGCTTGAAAACTTCCAGCTACATCGAGAGATTTCTATTGGCCACAAGCCTTTTACCCTGGGCGATGGGCAGAGGCCAGGTTTCCTTTTGAGGAATGCAATAGGCGAAGATTTCTTTAAAACCCTATAATATTTCATTTTTCCCTGGGCTACGATAAACACATTGGAATGAGACATTTACTAGCATTATTTAACACCGTTACTGCAACATTCTTTATAAATTACATCCGTTTAATGATATTATAAACAAAGACAATTATTCAGCAAAAGTGCCTGACATTAGCAATCTATTACGATAAGAATAAACAGTTCAAGCCAACGAACACACAATTCATTTTACAAACGCTTCGAGGAGTTCCAAAGTTCGGTAAATATTTGTCCGATAATCACCTCAGCGGTAAGAAGGACAACCTGCAACTTTAAAGTTGGCAAACCAATCGCGAATCTTGCAGAATTTCCATTTGGGATTTTCTTCAGGGACATTGAAAAGCATGCGAAATTACTAGGATGGATATTTTTTCATTCGAGATTGTGTTTTTTTTTCCACACTCAGCGACTCCACGATGATTTCATCGTTCATCCCGTTCTTCAGTCTGAAAATTGTCACAATCTCATTGCCTTTCACGAACACAGATGTCAGTATATTCTCTGCTAAGTTAAATTGTGACTCCAAATGCAACAACGGGTCCAGCGATCTTTTGTACGCTTTAAGAGATCCGTGCCATCGAAAAGGATTTATCTAATCTTGAAAAGGTGCTGGCACTTTTAAACGAGCTTACTGTGGGCACTTCAAGAGTCAATTGAAGGATGTTCTCAGATGAAGAGCAGGGGGTTTAAATTTAGCTGTAAAGTCCACTCATCTCGGAAAGGGAGAAGCAGAGACTTGCTTTAATAGGCTCTAAATGCTGGAGTTTGGCTCAGGCAAAAAAGATCACAAAAAAGATACTGGTTACATTAAAGTTGTCTGTTTATTTCTGTACTTAGAATTGAAGAGGTTTTAATAAGCTCTCCTCAGCGTGTTCCAATTTGAAGAATGATAACAGGAGTAATAAATTTTTCCGCAGAGGGAAATAACTTTTTATTAGAATTTTGGCAAATACCTCAGTTTAAAATTGCACACTGAATGTCATTCAGCGAATGGTGTTATTAATACCCGAGGTGAGCGATCATTAAAGTACGGAGCTGCGGTTTTAATGGTTGACTTTGTCACAGATAGTGTTCCGATGGATCACAAGGCGTGATAAGCGCTGTCCTGCAATCTCTCCCTCAGTCAATTAACATTTTGAAAAGGAAGTTGGCGCGCTGCATGTCTGCCTTTCTATCTGGGTAATTAAAAGCCAGATAGTTTCCGAGGCGAAAGATCTAAAACCATGAACCTCCGCTGTGGTTAGATCGCTTTCATCCGCTGACCTGTGCCTAATAATGTGCAAATTCGAGGGAATTTCGTAAATATACGAGAAACCATCCGCAGGACAAGGAATATTAAAACGGTTTTGACAGAAGTTCATAGTGGAAATACAATTTAGCTACAGAGCACAATTTACTGAGTTTGCATCTGTTGGATTATCCGGTTGTATTGTAGTTTGAAATGCCCAGGTTCCAGGTTATACTGGTCCTGCTAGAACATGATCGACGTCTCTTTGGAGTTTGTGACTGCAATGAGGATAAGATTTTGCTTTAACAGCTAATACAGTCACAAATCAAACCGAGGAATGGGACAAGCCATTGCAGCTGCAGGTTTAATATCCCTATGATTTAAATTTTTGTTTCTCCAGTCCTCAGTAGCCCTCTTCCACATTCGTCACTCAAGGTGTACGCATTTCACCGAGATTTGCGTGTTTTAATTTGTGGAGGAATGCGATTCTAAAAATTCAAAAATAAAAAACAAAGGCACGCGGACAGGAAGAGTTGCAATGGTGTAGAGGTACCGTTTTAAAGTGGGTGACATTTTTATTTACAGAGACGGTGGGCGTTAATTGACGCTGTATTACTTTGGAATTATTATTGAATGCAAAACCTGCGACCGAGATCAAACTTGATTTTTGTCCGCCAAAATAACACCACGTACAATTTTGTTTATTTGGTATGAAAATACAAATATATTCAACGATTCATCCGTGAAATGTAATGGTTTGGTCGTGTTATCAGGAATTTTGGTATTACGCCGTTTGCTGTGTCCGCGTTTAAAACCAGACATTCTAAGAGCGCAATTTCTTTTTAAACAAACGGTATTAACATGCTATCTAACAGAACAAAGTTTTGGAAGAAAAACGTTGCTAATTGATACTAATGTCACAGATGATCTGATATAGAGTTTTGTTTTAGACTAACGAAGTCTCCATCTGTTTCAAGCTGAAATCGTTGCCAATTTTTACCATTCCATAGTTGATGCTGATTATTTTCCTACGCATAATAAGTAAAGCAAAAACGAATTTCGTAAGTTTAGGTGGCAGTTTCTCCCTGAGTTCATGAGCTCTGATGTTGATAAATAAAATCCGGGAGCACCCGATAAAACGCGTTATCAGCCAACCATTAATATCTTTATCAAACAGATAGCGAGGCGTCGGCTTCAATTAAAATTCCTTTGACAAAAATAATGACTGTGCTCAATGATAAACTGCGTCAGTTTGCTGATGGCGAGGGTGCTGTATGGAGCTATTGGCGGTTTGGACAGTTCATTTGCGTGCAGCAGTCTGCCCAAACAGAAAGAAAACCAAACGCAAGTACTAAGCCGGCCAGGGGGCCGAGTGGGCCCTGTCCAAAGCAATATGCACTGAACCTCTCCTGCACCTTCAACAGCAAATAGGCGCACGGCAAACAAAAGCAATGAGACTTTACAACTTGTCGCCGGAGCATGATGAGCGAACACAACATATCTCCCTATCCCTTTGACTTGTGCAGCCGAAAGAATGGTGCTGCGGATCACGGAGAATTGTTGTTTTTACAGGAGAGCAGCGTGGGTCAGTTCTAACATAGAAACTGACTTCCAGTGACGGAGTGTTCGGTGCTAATGGACGCTGGTCGTTTTTGCCCAAGATTTAATCTGGTCCCAACACAGACACCTCTTTCTCAGAAAGTAAACACATGCCCAAATGTTATTTCGCTGTTATACTTCAAGAAGATTAACAACAATCCAGATTACCTTCTCACTTATTAATAAACTGTGAAGAAATCCGTGACTGTATTGATATACACGCTCTAAAATCCGCCCAATATCATTTATACAGAACTTTAAAACGACAATTCTCAACCTACGACGCTTAAAAAAATCATTTTTGAAGTTGGAGTGTTTTAGTTAGATAGCCCCAATCTGGTTACTGAGAGAATTGTGCACTTAATATTTACCTTTCCATGTTAATTTGATATAAAATAGTTTGTCTAGAAAAAAGTCGAACTAAATATGTGACTAAATACGGAAACATTAAAATAATGCGCACTTTAGATATCGTCTTTTATATAGTTTACTGTCACAGCTGATATTCCAAACACTATGAATATTACTGCAATTTATACACCTCTATAAAGTTGTTTTTAAAGTTAGCTAAATGTGGGACTTCGAGTGACTCGGTTTTTAATCGTTTCTAACATACATGGATTGTGTTGGATTTAATGTCGCAAATATGTTACAAACATTTGACTCAGTCCCGCTGACCATATAAATTACTGCTACTATGAGGTATGTTCGGTTGGTTCTAGAGGTGGTTGATAATTTGAAAATGTGAGGAGGGTCTACTTCTTTATCAGAGTCACATCTCCAAGCCGGCCCCATGTTCGGTTGCGCTCTGGGACGCATCTATTTCATGCGGCTGAGATAGGAGAGAGGAAGTCGCCACAAGCATTAAGTATTGGGCTATTTCTTTTCCGCCCTCTTTAGCTACTGTCAATCAACATTTCAGAGCCAGCAGCTAATCACTGACCCGGCCATCAACATCTTCCCAGCAGCTGCTAGCTGGATGGCCTTACGTGCGTTCAATCAGCATAACTCACTCAAACACTGGGGAAAGGAATCTGTCTGGGTTTCACAGCAGCTCAAATGCAGTGGTGACTCATGAGGGCGAATCATGTTCTGTGCTGGACAATTGGACGTTGAAGTCATTTTACATCTGCTGAGGGTTTGTTATTAATCCAGTTCATGTGGGCGCTCTGAACAAAAAAGTACTGAAGTTGACGCAGAGACTCAGAGAAATGCATCTCACCGTGCTGTAATTCTAAAGCTGAGGATTACTTTAGGACCGTTTAAAATGATGAGCTCTTCTACTGTGCAAGCTTTTACACAGGATATACTGCACTGAAACAGGCCATTCGACCCAGCCAGTTGACGCCAGAGTTTAAACCCACTGTAGCCCTTCCATCTTTCCTCATCAAAATCTATTAGTATAACACTCCTATTCCATTCTCCATCATCCTCCTGAACGGCTTACTTTCAAATATCTCTACACCATTCACTTCCGTGGTACTGAGTTCCACAAGCTCACTAGTCTGGGTGAAAAGGCGCTGTAAACATATGCATGAGACATCAATACAGTCTATTCCTCGCCCATTAAATACACTGTAAATTTTTATGGTATTATTAGATCCCAAGACGCATATTGTACATTTCAGAAGGGTTGTTATTTATTGAGCTCAGTTACCAATGCAAATTGATATAGATCAGATGTTAATGCAGAACTTAGGGCTCATTTGAAGGGCTTTATGGTGCAGTGGTACGATCCCCATCTGTGCCAGGAGGCTTGTGTTCAAGTCCTACTTACGCCAGAGGTGTGTCAGTTCGCGACTGAATAGGTTAATTACCAACATGTATAGGACTCACGTGTGTGAACGTTCTTTTGGATAACTTGATGCATTACAATGATCGAGCTTAATCACCTGTTAATAAAAAAAAGTAAAACATTCATTTGGGAATAGAAAATAATGCAGAATCATTTTGTTACTGTATCTAGACAAAATATGTTAATGCTTTTAGTAAAAGCAGACATTGTTGACATGACGCCAGACCTAAATGAGATGT